GGCCCCGGAACGGCCCAAGAGGGCCCCAAGGCGGCCCAAGAAGCGCCCAAGACGGCCCAAGAGGGCCCCAAGACGGCCCCAAAAGGGGCCCAATAGAGGGAACACGAACCGAAAATCCGAGCCTTCCGCCCCAGGAGGCCCCCAGGAGGCCCCAAGAGGCGCCCAGGAGGCCCCAAGAGGCCCGAAAGAAGCCCCCAAGAGGCCCAGCAGAGGCCCCCAGAGTCCCCAAAACGGCCCCCAAGAGGCCTCCAACGCGCCTCCAAGAGGCCCCCGAGAGGCCTCCCAAGAGATCCCAACGAGCATCCAATAGGCTTCATACCCACAACCCAGGCACAGTGGCGGGATAGGCCGAAGGCCACTAACTAGATCAGTAGATTAGGCATGGCACTTGGGCCCCCCAAAGAGGAGCTGCCAGGGAGGGGAAACACTTCCCCATTCGCGTTCAGATTCTGGCGATGTCTCGAGCGAGGCGCCCGTCCGGCCCCTCCTACTCCTTTCTTTTGAAAGCGTAATAATCGCGCTGATATAGCAGTCGTGGCACTTGGGCACACCAAGACAGAGCAGCCAGGGACGGAGGCTCTTCCCAGTTCGCGCCCAGTTTATGGGGATGTCTCGAGCGAGGACTACCACTCCGATGCCTTTCTTTGGGGAGCTTCATGGGCACTGCAGCACAGCAGGCGCGGCAGGCAAGGGGATGCTCCCCCTTCCGCGCCCAGATTGCGGGGATGTCGAACGGCGAGGCACCCGTTCTGCCCCACCCGGCCGCTCCTCCCTTTTACAAACTTCATGGCCATCGCGATGCAACAGGCGTAACACCCGGGCACCCCCAAGATGGAGCCGCCGGGGAGGGGGAAGACCTCCCCGCTCGCGCCGCCCAGAGTGTGGGGGGACGTCTCGGGCGAGGTGCGCGCTCTCTGCCCCTCCGACCGCTTCTTTGGAAATCCTCCTCCTCCTCCTCCTCCTCCTCCTCCTCCTCCTCGTCCTCCTCCTCCCCCTCCTCCTCCTCCTCCTCCTCCTCCTCCTCCTCCTCCCGTTGGAAAGCTTCACAGCCACCTTGGTGTCGATGGCGTGGCAGGCACGTGGCCACCCCCGCCGCTGGGGAGGAGTGCAGTGCCCCGCTCGCGCCCAGATGGCGGGGCTGTCTCGAGCGAGGCGTTCGGCCTGCCCCTCCGAGTGATGCTTGAGAGCTTCACGGCCACTGCGATATAGCATCAGGTCGGGCATGTCCCCCCTACTGGGGGATTTTGGACGAAACATTAAAAATTGTCAAACAATGCTCCAACATGCTCAAAAATCCGCCGGCCCCCTTGTGGGGCCACCAGGCTGTAGGCTCAGGGTTTGCTGTTCCCTGCACCAGTTCCAGTTTCCAGTTTCCACTGTTACAGTTATGTTTCTTGCTGCTTACTGTACCTTGTTGTAGACCGCGCGAGGGGGGGGAGCCGAAAGCCGCCCTGGTTAGCACCTCCCTGGAGAGGTCTCAGAAGTTCTGGGGGGGGTCGAAATTGACACCCCAGATCGGCGGGGTCAGGGTCCAAAAACCCCTGGGATTTGCCACATTCCTGAAATTCGGCGGCACCTCTCATGCAGATAAGCAGGATCAGGGTCTAAAAACACGTGTTATTTGCCACATGTCTTGAAATTCGGCGGCGCCGCTCACGCAGATCGGCGGGGTCAGGGTCCAAAAACACAACGGATTTGCCACATTTCTGAAACTCGGCGGCACCCCTCATGAAGATCGACGGGGTCAGAGTCGAAAAACACATTGGATTTGTCACATTTCTTGAAATTCGGTGGCACCCCTCACGCAGATCGGTAGGGGTCAGGGTCAAAAAAACATGGGATGTGCAACATTTCAATACTTCGTAGCAAAGCTTTTTGCAAAGCATACGCGAGCAAGCTCGAAATACAACACCGAATTCAACAATGTCATCAGAATCCCAATTTGTCTTGCCGATTACCCATCGTCTTCGCGTGAAGTCCCGACGCTGCTTCACGGCGGCACCAAGGCCTCATGATTCCGCTCTTGCAGTGCCCACTATCCGAGAGAGGGGGCCGGCGGCAGGGGGCGAAGTCCTTACGGGCATTCGAAAACTCATACCCAGACCACGCTTTCTACAATTTTTGAAGATTCTCCCTGTAGAGAGGGACATGCCCGACCCAAACATAGCAGGCGTGGCAGTTGGCCACGCCCAGAGGGAGCCACCCAGGGAGAGGGGCACTTCCCCGTGCGCGCCCGGATCGTGGGGATGCCTCGAGCGAGGCGCTCGCTCTGCCCCTCGCGCCTCCTCCCGGAGCTTCACGACCACCGCGCTGTGGCAGGCACCCCCGGGGAGGAGCGGCCAGCGGGGGGAAAGCGTCCGCGGTCGCGCCAAGATCGTGGTGATGTCCAGAACGGTCCTTTCGAGTGGCGTCCCCGACCCCCCTGCTTCGAGAGCCCCGTGGTCACCGCGATGCTGCAGGCCTGGCACCTGGGCACCCCAATGAGGAGCCGGCAGGGAGAGGGGACACTTGCCAGCCGCGCGGGTGTGGGGACGTCTCGAGCGAGACACTCGGCCTGCCCTCCCACTCCTCCTGCTTGCGAGCCCCGTGATCACTGGGATGTAGCAGGCGTGGCACTTGAGAACCCCAAGGAGGAGCCACCACGGAGGGGGACACTTCAGATTCTTGGACTGCTCGAGCGGGCGGGGCGCTCGTTTGGAGTCCCCGACTCCTCCGCTTTGACGGCCCTGCGATCACCGCGATCTGGCGGGCGTGGCAAGTGGACCCCCAGGGAGGGGCCGACAGGGGTGCTGCACTTGCTCGTTCGCGGCCAGATCGCGGGAAGGTCTCAAGCGAAACGCTGTCTTTTCGGGTGCGGCCAAGAGGGGGGCGTCCAAGAGGGGGCGCACATCATGACCGGCGGCATGTGCGCGGCCCGGGGGGGGGGGCAGGGACGCATTGAAATAAGAAGAGGCAGCATGAAATCTGAGGAAATATCATGTCCCACGCCATGATACCCCCTCCCCCCCCTAGTCATCACCCCCCTCTTGGCAGCACCCGATTTCGGAGTCCCAGAGGCATCCCGACGTGGCAGGCAGATCGTCTGTGCACTCCACGGGGGGGAGCCGCCAGGGAGCGCTCCGTCACCACAGGCTACGACTCTCGCACTCAGACGCTCACAGCGGGAAGCGCCAGGAAATGAGATGCATGCAGGGCTGGAACTAAAAGTTGTGTTTCGCTTTGTTTTCGTTTTGTGTCTCGTTTTGCTCTACCTGTTTTCCTGTACCTCCCTGCCACAACGAAAAACAGAACACAGCCGAAGTCCAGCAAAACAGCGTTTACGTCCAGCCCTGGATGCATGTATTGGACCCTCCGCGCCGAATCATGTGTCTGGCTGGCCTTTATCTTGTTTCAATTCTCCTTTCTGCTTGCTCTCCACTTCGGCGGAGGGAACAAGTGGTGACCCACGAAACGGGGAGTTGCCACTATGAGCACCGATTGCGGCAGCGATCGCGTGACGTGGGGTCCCCACACCGCCACGCCCCTAAAAGAAAATCCGCCGACCCCCGCTCGCCAGAGGTGACAAGGCGTGTGAGACATTTGGCTGTCCCTCTTCCCCTTTCCGCCTTCCTGTACGTCCAACTCTTGCTTGAGGGGGGAGGGGGGGGAAGCTGGGCAGGGAGGGGTCGACGAGGTCCTCAATGCACCTGCGGGGCCCTCGGATCCCCGAAATCCACCCTCCGCGGCCTCCAAGAGACCCCAAATGCCATCCAAAATGGCCCAAGAAGGGCTCCAACACGCCGGAGAGGCTTCAAACACATCCTAAGTGGCCCCAAGACAGCCCACGAGGCCCCCAAGACTGCCCAGGAGGGCCCCAAAGAGGACTTCCAAGAGGACCTCGAAAAGCAAAGATCATTGACGTTCTGAAAGTTTTTTGGCTTAATGGTTTTCACGCTCTCACCATCTATCGGGCCTCTGAAACGCCAAGACGGCCCGAGGGGCCACAGCCCCAGATGGCTCGAGAGGCCCAAGGGGGCCCCCAAGACTGCCTTAGCCCCCAAGACTGCCACAAAAACCTTCACGAGGGCCCGAAGAGAAGCCCACGAGGTGGGAACCTCGCTTGGGGCACGGGAGGGAGCCCTCCCCGACGAGATGGCCCCCAGAACCCCCGGCATGCTCCCAAAAGGCCCTCAAGAGGCCCCAAAGAAGCCACTGGAGGGCCCCAGAAAGCTCCCGGACGCACTGAGAAGGCTCCCAAGAGGCCTCCCCTGAGGCCTCCAAGCGGCCCCAGATAAAACCCCGCAGCAAGCACGGAGGAAGAGGAGGACGAACATGCAGCAACTACACGCAGGCAGCACAAAAGGAAAAGGCGAACGACACATACGGAATTGGAAGCCGCACACCTCCTCTTCTGGCGGTCCGCGGAAAGGCGCAAGCCTCTTGACTCGGCGCTGACTTGCCACGTTGTTCCCCTTGTCGTGGGGGTCTGCGCCCCGTTGTCGGGGGGGTCTGCGCGCATGGACGCCAACTAATGTAGGCTGTTTTCAAGAATCCCGTTATTACACGCAGATTACATATACCGTCATCGTGTGCGCGGTTGCCTAGCCGCTTGGTCACCCTCAACCGTTGCTGCATTCAGCTTTGGCGTGCCTTTAGATTGCCTGTAGCTTCCCTCGGCGCCTCGCATCATGAGGGAGAACCTCCTAAGTGAGGTCGCGCCAGGGTCACCACATCCAAACTCGTTTTGTTTTGCCATAGTGGACAAGCTGTGAATGGTCACTGGAGGCCAGCCACGATGTTAAGACTGCGTTGAGGTGCAGGACATGGACGAATGGTCCCACACCAATTCACGTTGCGTGTGTGTGGGGGGGGGGGGGGCACAGATCAAGAGCACGATGATTAGCTTACACTGTGATAGGGCAAGGAGAACACGGAACGAATGCAATTTCAAATAAGGGGTCTTCCCCGCTGCGAGCTCATCCCTTGTCCCTCTTGAGCCACATCTGCCGAGCCCTGGATGCCGTAGACTCCAGCTTCGCGATCTCGGTCTGCATGGCCTTTGCTTGGTCTTCGTCCTCAACCTTCTCAGCCTTGGGGCAGTCAGACATTGTTTGTAGTGTTTGTAGGGAATCCTCCGATGAGTCTCGAAACACCGATCTCTCTGTTATCGAAGTTCTTCAACTCAGGGACTCGGTTGATGCGGGCGCACGTGGGTGTGAGCTACAAGAGGCCGGGCACAAAACTCAGATTCCAAAATCTGACACGCCGACAGTAGGTCTGCAGTGAGCGTGTTCGGCTTCAGGCGTGTGTCGAAGTGGAATCTCCTACGAAATCGAGATCACGCCATAAGTCCCGAAATACGATCAAAAATCACTCGCGAGGTCCTGAGACAGACTCTCCAGAAGTCTTCTTTAGCGGACGAAGGAATGTGTACAAAAAACTGGCCCGCCATTGGGGACGACTGCTGATATCCCTACGGTGGCGCGTCGGGGTGCAAACTGTTGAGTGGTCCTGAAACAGGCGTCATCGGTGGCGAAAACCTATACGTTTCACGGTGATCCAACCACTAACTTAAGAGAAAGCCGATGAGATGTTCTCTGCATCTAAGCGATATGAAGCAAACATGCGGGAAGCATTGTAAGCACTTGCGCTGCCCCTTGCACTCCTTCGGAACTTGGTCCGGCGATTGCATTCTGGCGTGACTATCCGTATTACTTTCCATGTCTACACGTTGCTCCTCAAATTGTGCCCGAGGCCATGCAAATGCGCCGTTCTGCGACATCCGCCTAGAATCCATGTTTTGGGCGGCTCTCGCTCTAAAGTGCGAGGAAATTGACCACTTCCAACTGAAGCTGCTGGAGTCGACAAAACGTAACTGCACTAACAAGCCGAATTGACTGGACCCTCGACACGTGGTCTAAGAGCAGGGCCGCACTGTCCCGATTTTAAGAATCGTGCCAACATGCGGGTTGGAGAAGAGAGCAAGTCATGACGAAGATGACCAAGAGGGCAAGGGAGACTAGGATAATTCCCAGGCCTGGTGCAGATCCACTCTCAAGAAATTCACAACCTCCTGGAAGAGGTGCCCCACCCTCTCTGTGTGGTTGATCGACTCTGCATAGGCCCTCTCGCCATCGCGTAACTGCCAGAACACGAACTTTTCAACATCGCTCTGCTTGTGGTTGTCGCTCTCCTGGTCAGCCCGATCAGCTAGCGCCATGCAGAGCCGGAGTGTTGACGAGAAGAAACAGATTAGAGGCAGCAGCGTGGAATGGGGATTCCCCGCTGCAATGTGCTGGCGGAGAACCGCGGGTAGCGCGTTCCCCTCCTCCTCCTCCTCCTCGTCCTCCTCCTCCTCCTCCTCCTCCTCCTCCTCCTCCTCCTCCTCCATTCCTTATAAACAGCTTCTCCCTGTCGCGCCCCGAGGCCAGTTTCTTGGGCGGGCCAAGCGTTTCGCCTGAGACTCCCTCACCATTTATGACTCTGAAGCTTAAAGATTGGCAACAGTTTCACAGATGGAGGGCGGGTGGTTTTCAAAATGTGGCTCTCGCTTAACGCGGCACATATTCGTTTTCAAAACTTGCAAGAATTCAAAAGTTTGCAACAAAAGTTTCACGGATTGGGGGCGGGTGGTCTTCAAAATATGGCTCTCGCCTCAGCGCGGCGAACATTCTTCTTGAAAATTTGCACGAGTTTCACGGATTGAGAGCGGGTCGTTTTCAAGATGTGGCTCTCGCCTCAGCGCGGCGCACATTCGTTTTAGAAATTTGCACAACGTTCACGGATTGAGGGCGGCTCCTTTTCAAAATGTGGCTCTCGCCTTAGCGCGGCGCACATTCGTTTTAAAATGTGCAAGATTTTCACGGATTCCCATCGTCAACGTAGCCGAAATGGTGTTCTGGAAGGATTCAGGATTATGCGGGCGAAACAGTTACGTTGATTCTGTGCGTTGAAGTCCCTGGAATGGCCTCCTGACACGATCAGGATCGTCAAAAAGGTTGATCCGTGGCGTTAGAATCCCGTTTCGACATGCTTCAGCGTCTTCAAACGGTTCTCTTCCAACGAGGCAGTTCCTCAATGGAAATGAACCGTTGCAGGGGCCTATGGAGAGGGAGCTTGGAGGGAGGGTTTACTCCAACATCGTTCCTCCTCCTCCTCCTTTTCCTCCTCCTCCTCCTCTTCCTCCTCAGTCTTCTCTCTCCTCTTTCTCCTCCTCCTCCTCCTCCTGCTCCTCCTCCTCCTCCTCCTCTCATCCTCCAGGCCATCTTACTATCATGCCATTGGGTTTCCTCCTCCACCGGCACCTGCTCCTGCACCCCCCTGAAACACGACCACCCCTGCAACCCCGTCCTCATCGTCGTCCTCCTCCTCCTGGCCGTCCTGCCCATCCTCATCTTCCCGCTCCCCCTCTTCCTCCTATACCTCTCTCCTCCTCCTCCTCCTCCTCCTCCTCCTCCTCCTCCTCCTCCTCGTCCTCGTGTTCCTGGACCTCCTGCTCCTCGTGCGGTTGCGCCCGCGGGCGGGTTGAAACGTGTCGCCTGGTTGCGGTTGCGGTTGCGGTTGCGCCCGCGGGCGGGTTGAAATATGTCGTCTGGCGGCGGTTGCGCCCGCGGAAGGGGTTGAAATGTGTCGCCTGGCTGCGATTGCGGTTGCGGTTGCGGTTGTGCCCAAGGGCGGGTTCAAATGTGTCGCCTGTTGCGGTTGTGGTTGCTGCCGCGGGCAGGTTGAAATGTGTGGCCTGGAAGCAGAGGCGGTTGCGCCCGCGGGCGGGTTGAAATGTGTCGCCTAGTTGCGGTTGCAGTTGCGGTTGCGCCCGCGGGCGGGTTGAAATGTGCCGACTGGTTGCGGTTGCGGTTGCGGTTGCGGTTGCGGTTACCGTTGTGCCCGCGAGCGGGCTGGTATGTGATGCCTGGTTGCGGTTGCGGTTGCTCTTGCGGCTGCGCCCGCGGGCGGATTAAAATGTGTCGCCTGGCGGCAGCTGCGATTGCGGATGCGCCCGCGGGCGACTTAAAATGTGACGCCTGGTTGCGGTTGCGGTTGCGCCCGCGGGCTGGTTGAAATGCGTCGCCAGCTGGCAATTCCGGTTGCAGTTGCGCCCGCGGGCGGGTTGAAATATGTCGCCTGGTTGCGGTGTCGGTTGTGGTTGCGCCCGCGGGCGGGTTGAACTGAGACACCTAGTTGCGGTTGCGGATGCAGTTGCGCCCGCGGGCGGGACGACTGGTTGCGGTTGCGGTTACGGTTGCGCCCGCGAGCGGGCTGATATGTGTCGGCTGGTTGCGGTTGCGGTTGCGGTTGCGCCCGCGGGCGGGTTGAAATGTGTCACCTGGTTGCGATTGCGGTTGCGGTTGCGCCCGCGGGCGGGTTGAAATGTGTTGCCTGGTGGGGGTTGTGGTTGCGGTTGCGCCCGCGGGCGGGTTCAAATGTGTCGCCTCGATGCGGTTGCGGTTGCGCCCGCGGGCGGGTTCAAATGTATCGCCTGGTTGCGGTTGCGGTTGCGCCCGCGGGCGGGCCGAAATGTGTCACCTGGTTGCGATTGCGGTTGCGGTTGCGCCCGCGGGCGGGTTGAAACGTGTCGCCTGGTTGTGGTTGCGGTTGCGGTTGCGCACGCGGGCGGGTTGAAATGTGTCCCCTGGTTGCGGTTGCGGTTGCGCCCGCGGTTGAAATGTGTCGCCTGGTTGCTGCTGCGGTTGCGCCCGCGGGCAGGTTGAAATGTGCCGCCTGGTTGCGTTTGCGGGTACGCCTGGGCGTTTTGAGATTTGTTGCCAAGGGTGCCCCTTCAATTCAGTCAGTTCAAGGCAGGTCAGTCGGTCAGTCAGCAGAGGGCACGGAATGTCACCCGGCTCCGACGGGAAACAGAACGCAAATCCCCCCCGATCGCTCAAAGCGCAGCCCCGATCGCTGATTATGTGGGAATACAAAGCTGCTGATGTGATCAGGACCCAACGGCCGAACAACAGATCGAGCAGATCTAAGCAAATTGCTTCCGCGATGCAATGGAAGGGCGCGCTGGTGAGTTCGACCTTTACGCTCTTCAGCGCGGAGATCATCGAACTCGTTATGCTCGCGGAGTTATTAGTCTGTCGGGTCCCTGCTGCTTCTGCACCAGATAGCAGCTCTTCTACTTCGCGGGCTGCCTGATCGGACTCTTCCTTTCAGAGGACACGCATTGGAGGGCACGCGATCGGGCACGCAGAAAAAAACTCATCACGAGAAGTGCCTAAGGTCAAGACTCTCGGATGCCACACAGCCAGCGGCACTTCTGTATTTCGCCTTGCATCTCAACACCCTTGAGGATCTCGCTCACAGGGTAAGCATTCGAGGTGCTAAAGGCTAAAGTGTAGAGCAAGCCAGCCAGCCGACCTGTCGGAATGGCAAGAGACAGTAGCCGGACACGAGTGGGTGCAGATTTCGAACGATGGGACGCCCCACGAGCCATGAAAGCTCCAGAGCTGGCAATGAAGCGAGATGCCAGGCCCAAGCTCGCCGACCCCTTGGGGCCGCTTACGTGAGGCCTCTCCCCCTCATCTAACCCGTCCCCAGGAAGGGGACCAGGGCCAGTCAGCACCGAACCTGCAAATCAGCTCGAATCGGAACTTGCGTCGGATCGGGCTGCATCGGCACAGAGTCGAAAACGAATCCGGATCGGCTGTGCCAAGATGCACAGCTGCGCCCTGCAAGCGCTGGGCCACCCTGGACGCAGAAAGGTCGAGAACGAATCGGACCGAGCCCCGAGAATTCGAGATCGAACCGAAACAATCGAATCGGAGTGGGCATTGGGGGATCGACCTGCGCTTGGAAAGGGGGACGATCGAAAGAGTCGGTTCGTAGGAGGCGACATCCGAACCCTACCCCCCCCCACCGTCGATTCTCCGGAATCGATGGGAGGCGGGGGCAGGGTTCGGACTTCGCCGCGCGCTCGACGAATATCGAGCCCTACCCCCGCCGCCCATCGAGCTGCCTGAATCGTTGATCGGCGAGGGCGGGAGAATCAGGTCGAGAGGCCCTCGGGGGGCGCCCAGGGAGCCCCGCGCCGCCCGAGGGCGGGCACGCGCGGGAGCCTGTGTGCCACCCGGTCCGAGAGAGCCAGGGCACGCCGCCGGGACGCCAGGGCGGCCCGGGAGGCCCCCAGGACAGCCCCAATCCTCCACGTCCCCGGAGCCCGTCTTGTTCAGCGCGGAGCCCTTGACTCTCGCCGTCGTTCGCTCGTTCGCTCGCCGCCGCCCCCTCGGGGCCCCCCCCCTGCCCATGCCTCCTGATGATGGCCACGATGGCCCCACGGGAACACCAGGATGGCCCCAAGACCCCCCCCCCCGCTCCCTCCGCGCCCTGCCTCGCCTGGCCCTTGCCCTCCCTCGAGCAAGAGGCCAGGGCACGCATGCCACGTGTTGTTTGCGAGAAGGCACGTGACTGGCACCGCCCCCTCCACAGATCTCCAGAAACCCCAAGAGACTTCGGGGACTCCTGGAGGCCTTTGGAGATATCCTCCTTTTCGGTGCCCGGAAGAGATATGAAGAGATATGAGCCTCCTGGCCTTGCCGCCAGACGCGTGTCCGGTTGGCAACGGGTCTTGCGCTGCCCCCTCCGAACAGCAAGGCCCGTCCCTCAGGTCGGCAGGGGGGGTGCAGTAAGCGGGGGGGGAGTGGTGGAGGGGCCTGGCCGCCTCCCGCCCTCACCCCCTGGTCACGTCACGACTCGCGCCCGCGCCGCGTGGGAATCTGCCATTCCCAAGCATTCCCAGACGGCGCCGGCGCGAGTCGCGACGTGACCCCCACTCCCCCCGTTACCCGGGTCACGCCCGTTATCGCCAGGAGGTTTCTGTTACATGTCGGAAACTAAAACAAAACAAGTAATTATCCCGGCGAACCAACCTAACAGCGATGTGTAGAAGCATAACTGGAAACGTTGCCTGTGGTATTCATGTAAGGGTGCTGTTGTAGAACTCTGGTGTTCTCGCAGTCGCATTCGGATTCGCAGTGGCAGTCGCAGTGGCAACATCAGCGGCAGTCGCAATGGCACTGCCAGTAGTTGCAGTAGCAATAGCTACACTAGCAGCAGCAACAGCAGCAGCAGCAGCAGTAATAGTTCTCGTTCGGCCCGTTCTTGTTCGTTCGGTCTTCTGCTTCCGCTTGAGCTCCTCGGTCTCCGTCTGCTGATCAGCACAGCCCAGGGCCCGCAGTTCATGCAAAATGTCTTTGGGGATGCGGTCGCGATGGTCCGAGAAACGTTTGGCCAACTTGTTTTCGGCCCGTTCTTGTTCGGACGTTCCTTTATTTCGCTTCGGTATCCGGCCGAACTGCTTCACGTGCTCGACGAGCGTTTGCAGAGGACCGCTCAATGCAGCACGCTGAGGAGCAGCGCTGTTCCCTGCCGCAGGCTGAGGAGCACCGCTGTTCAATGCAGCAGGGTCAGGAGCACCGCCGCCAGACCGAGAACTATCAGCATGTCCTGGCATTAAGGTGCGCAGTAGGCGCTGCGCAGTTCCTTTGAAAGGAAATCTTCGAAAGCAGGGCTGTAGCCAAGAAGGCTACGGGGACGATGATGATGATGATGAAGATGATGAGTCTTGGAAGTCTGGGAAGTGGAAGAGCACGAAAAGGCGTACAGTTGGCTCCGGGCATTCAAAATGTGACCCGGGAGTGCAATTCTGGGAAATGGAAGAACACGAAGTGGCCTACAGTTGGCTCCGGGCATTCAAAATGTGGCCCGGGAATGGTGTTCTGGGAAATCCCAAAACACGAAGTGACCTACAGTTGGCTCCGGGCATCCAAAATGTGGCCCGGGAATGGAGTTCTGGGAAATCGAAGAGCACGAAGTGGCCTACAGTTGGCTCCGGGAATCCAAAATGTGGCCCGGGAATGGAGTTCTGGGAAGTCGAAGAGCACGAAGTGGCCTACAGTTGGCTCCGGGCATTCAAAATGTGGCCCGGGAGTGGAGTTCTGGGAAGTCGAAGAGCACGAAGTGTGCGACTGTTTGCTTAAAACGAGCCCGGTCCTCGCCTGTCTGGCTCCCGCCCAGACCCCCCTGGGGAGTCATCAGATGCTCTCTTTTGACCCCATTTAGAAACCTATCAGTCTTCGCTGTTAAATAGCAATAAACAAATAACAAAACAACAAAACAACAACAACAACAACAACAACAACAACAATCATTTAAGACTGGGGACACTCCGTTCTCACCAGTGCCAGGGTTTTCATAGGAGGCGGGCAATACCCCCACTTTGTGGGGGGGCCGGTTCAAGCTCTACCAAATTTCCAAACGACTCTTCGCCACCACCCACACCCAGCTTCCCGCCCTATGACGTTCGGACACTTCACTTCGTGGCATGCGGACGACCGTGGCTACTATTCAGGGCCCCGCGGCCGACGACGACGGCGTGCGCGCGCGAAGAAAAAACGAATGTGTCCCGCATGGTATTATTTGACAGGGATGATGGCCCTGGCAGGTGCGCAACCGTTGTCGCAGAAGTTCGAAAAAGTTGCTCGCAAAAGCCCGTTTGACAGAAATGTTTAAAAAGTGTTGGGTTTCCTACGAATCCGCAAGAGCGCGCGGGATGAGATTTTGACATTTTTTTGTTGAAAAACCATTGGTTTTTTGATGTTTTTATGTTAAAATCGCTTCCGAACACTAAGCTTTTGGAAGGATTTCGTCTTGCGCGCGCGAATGTCCACTTTACCTTATTTTTTGCAAGGATTCTTGAAATTTGATTATATTAGAACAAGAAATGTCATTTTATAGTGTTTTTTGCAAGGGAAAGCGGGGGGGAACAAAACAACCGGATCTTGATCACATCGAATTACCTGAGGCTTCCTCACGAAAATGATGAAAATGTAGCTGCGGCCTAGGCGGCGCAGGGGGGGTGCGCACCAGGGGTCCCAACAATAATTATTCTTTAGAATAATAATGTTCAACAACAACAACAACAACAACAACAACAACAACAACAACAACAATTACTAGCACGTGGGGACACTCCGTTCTCACCAGTGCCAGGGTTTTCATAGGAGGCGGGCAATACCCCCACTTTGTGGGGGGGCCGGTTCAAGCTCTACCAAATTTCCAAACGACTCTTCGCCACCACCCACACCCAGCTTCCCGCCCTATGACGTTCGGACACTTCACTTCGTGGCATGCGGACGACCGTGGCTACTATTCAGGGCCCCGCGGCCGACGACGACGGCGTGCGCGCGCGAAGAAAAAACGAATGTGTCCCGCATGGTATTATTTGACAGGGATGATGGCCCTGGCAGGTGCGCAACCGTTGTTGCAGAAGTTCGAAAAAGTTGCTCGCAAAAGCCCGTTTGACAGAAATGTTTAAAAAGTGTTGGGTTTCCTACGAATCCGCAAGAGCGCGCGGGATGAAATTTTGACATTTTTTTTTGAAAAACCATTGGTTTTTTATGTTTTTATGTTAAAATCGCTACGAACACTAAGGTTTTGGAAGGATTTCGTCTTGCGCGCGCGAATGTCCACTTTACCTTATTTTTTGTAAGGGATTCTTGAAGTTTGGTTATGTTAGAACAAGAAATGTCCACTTTAGCTTATTTTTTGCAAGGGAAAACCGATCGTAACAACACAACCGGATCCGGACCAACCCGTTTTGCCTGAGACTTCCTCACGAAAATGATGAAAATGAGGCTGCGGCCTAGGCGCGGCGGGGGGGTCGTGCACCAGGGGTCCCAACAATAATTATTCTTTAAAAGTAATAATGTTCAACAACAACAACAACAACAATTACTAGCACGTGGGGACACTCCGTTCTCACCAGTGCCAGGGTTTTCATAGGAGGCGGGCAATACCCCCACTTTGTGGGGGGGCCGGTTCAAGCTCTACCAAATTTCCAAACGACTCTTCGCCACCACCCACACCCAGCTTCCCGCCCTATGACGTTCGGACACTTCACTTCGTGGCATGCGGACGACCGTGGCTACTACACTGGCGCATGGTTTCAATGACTTCTTGTGGTAACATCTTGTGGAAACTAGCTTAGTATACGACGACGACGATTTGAAGGGCCTACGGTGCGAAAAATGATTTTATGTTGCGCGGTGCTAAAATTCCTACGAAACCCAATGGTTTTTGAAGATTTCGGCGTGCGCACGGAAAGAAAAAACGAATGTGTCCCGCATGGTATTATTTGACAGGGATGATGGCCC